TTTAATTATTATAATAATAATAATTATTATTATTATTATTATGATTATTATTATTATAATAATACAGGATTTATATAGCGCCAAGAAGGGCCCTGCTCATGAGAGCTTACAGTCTAAATTTGGAGGGACTCTCCTTCTCCCTCTGTCCATCTTTTCTCCTTGGTTGCTCCTTTTGTGATCTGATGTATAGACCTCTATAGAAAAATTTACTTATAAATTGTTCCACTGCACTTATCATTTCATCCGACCTTATTACTATTATATGTGTTATTTTAAAGAGATAGTGTCAGGAAAAGGACGTGATAAAAGCACTTGTGGATTTAACCAATCATTTTTGGCGTATTCATCATGGTCCATGTAACTGGAGGCGTGGCCAGGGTGTGACCTTTGCCTCCATGCTTTGTGATATATGGCGTTCCTCTTTCCCATCTTAGAAAGTTGGCATTTACAGAATGTCCTCATGATTATGTGAAAAAGACAACTTGCAGCCATCTGAAGTATGCAAATGGATGACTAAAACTGGCCATACAGATTTTAGCCAATTCTTGCAAATCGAACCCAGCTTGACACCAGCCAGCTCAACAAACTACATGTACTACATGTGTGTACAGAACAAGCGATGAGATGTAAAATGCAGTAACCAGTAGCAACCAATGAGACATCCAATTTCATCAGTTTATGGAGCTCAGAGCAATCGTGGTTGCTGTGGGTTTCTGCACTAGGGCCTATATCTGTTTACATTGGCTTGATATTGCATGGATATATGTTTTGACAATTCCAACTCAGTCATTCCATTCCTAGGGTTGGAGTTATAGTAAAATTATTCAGAATTTAGAGGGATGGGCCCGTGGTTCCTGTTTGTGCTTGAACTTGGAAAGTCATCTAAAGGGATGTTCCAGGTGAAAGCACTGCTTTTTTCTTTCTTTAATGTTTCCTTTAACAAATGTTCTTTGGCAGGAAACGTGAGTTCAGTGTCACTCCCCAATGGCCACAATGTAAAGGAAGGCATTGTTCCTCCCACTTCACTTGAAGGTTATGGGGCTGGGTTACAAACACTGTAGCAGAAGGCAAACGAGTTACCCATAACAATAAATCATGCAGGGCTGGACAAATCACAGGGGCCAGGTCGCCAATGTTTCTTCAAAATTCCAGCTGGTGCTTAACTTTTGAGGTTTTCTCTAGGCGTTGTCAATAGAGCTGGCTCCTAAAAAAATCATGCTGGCTTCTGGATTTGACAGACTGGCTCCTGAATTCAGTATGAAAATATCCACCCCTGCAATCGGGTTTAATCTCTTTAATGAACCAAGTATTCTGGCTAATGCAGAAGTACTCTAGCTTTTTTGGGCCCTATTGTTGTAAAGAAGCTCCATGGTGTACACCAGCCATTCTCAACCATGGTTCCTCAAGAGAGGAGGAACCATGGTTGAGGCTAGGGGTTCCTTGGGCTATTGCTGATTGACCTTCTAATTCATGGTGCCGGCGTAGTTCCAGAGCCAATGCCACTTGAAAGAGCCAGCAGCATGGCACCAATGATCTTTAAAGGAGAACTATGAGGTGAGTGCTTTTCACTCACCTCATAGTTCTAGACGACCTGTGACAATGAGACTGTCACAGGTCGGCTCAGTAGATCGGGAGGTGAGCGAACAGTTACCGGCGTTCGCTCACCTCTCAATCCTGTCACGGCTGTCTCAGAGCCAGCTGTACCCGCCCCCTCCCCGCTCAGATCCGCCAGCGCTGACTGGCGGAACGGACGGGGAGGGGGCGGGTACACCTGGCTCTGCCTCTAGATAGGCAGAGCCAGCTGTCAGTCACGCAGCCGGGCGGATCCCGGCACAATTGTCGGGATCCGCTTCAGCTACGGCGTCTCAGTATACCGTGAGCAGCAGCTCGCGGTATACTGCGGCGTCTCAGTATACTGCGAGCTGTAGCTCGCGGTATACTGAGCCTAGGGGGACGGGAGGACGCTAGTTTGTGTCCTCCCGTTACCCTAAGGAGAACTATGGGGAAAAGCCTTAACCCCATAGTTCTCCTTTAAGAATGTAATTCTGACCACCACTGTAAAGGGAGGTATACTTCCCACAAACCACCATGCTTTTTTTGCCCACTGATTCCCAGTGCTTTTGTTTTATCAGGAGTTCCTTGAGACCTGAAATTTATTCCTCTGGGGAAAAAAGGCTGAGAAAGTCTGGCACAGATTATACTGTAGATGTCCTTTGATGCACAACATTGTATCAGCCATTTGGCACAGCCCATAGAGTTACCAAAGGGCTATACTGGCTAAAATCAACAGCACTAATCAACAATGTCTAGATCATGAGAATTCCTTCCATGTTCAATAAGGCTGGGTCCACACCTGGGCGTACAGAATATGCACGTTTGCCGTGCCTTTTGTGCCACGCGTTTTTACCGCGATTTGAGCTAAAAGAAACGCACGACAAACACGCATTTCCGAGGGCTATACGGCTGCTATACGGCGTGGCAAATACGCCCCAAAGATGCTCCTGTACTTCTTTGGGCGTAGGGCGATTTACAGCGCGTTCCTACGCGCTGTAAAACACTCAGGTGGGAACCATGCCCATAGGAAATTATTAGTTTTAACATGTTGAGCATTTTGCAGCGCGTAGGAACGCGCTGTAAAATGCCCAGGTGTGAACCAGGCCTAAGGAATGTTATATTATGGCCAAAGAATTATAGAAGTATAATTAGATTTTCCAACTTTTAATAGTAGTGGGATTGTAAACCTTAACAATAAGCTTCTCTTATTTGCTACCTTTCCGTCTGTTAATCATCCTTTGAAAGCGTTTTGTTATTACTGTTTGAAAAGTAAAAAAAAATGTAAAACATGGTTGATCCTGCCATAACTCCAGTGAGCTTGTAACTTCCTGTATACTCTGTATCTGCTGCACTGAACTATCGAGCAGTGTTATCAGCCCAGCCCAGTTCTTCTCGATTGACTACAAAATGCCCCCCCCCCCCCTGTGTTATGGGGTAGTTGTTCCATAGTTCATATCAAGACAAAGCAGCCTAGGGTGACAACATTGCTCCGCTATAGATACAGTACAACAAAGTGGGCGTTGTCCCCCGGGACAAGAATATTATAGCGTCAAGATAACTGGGTAAAAATGATCGGGAAAAGCCTAAAAAAAGAAAATGAATGCATCCACTAAATCTAAGGACTGGAAAGCTGCAATATTTTACGTTTTTGTTCTTGGGTTTAGATAA